ATTATTATTAAAGTAATTAATTTAAAAAAAAAATAAATAAATAAATAAATTCTACCTGAGTTCTGATGTTTCTACTAATAATTTAACGCAGTCCAAACACCCCCTAGCGGCGGCATAGTGAAGCGCCATAGCGCCATTATTCGTACGCTCTAAGGCTGGCATTTTAGTTTCGTATAACAGCCACCTGAGCTCGTTGATTCTACCGTACCTGTAAAGTGAAAGTTAATTCATTCATTAATTTTATAAAATTATTAATAATAATAATAATAAATCTCGTTAATCTCTTTGATTTATTTATTTAAAAAATAAAAATAAATAAATTTTCACTGATATGTTTCGATAAAAAGCTATAAAAGTTAAAATAATGGAAAAAAAAAGTAATTTATGAACAATTATAAATTTTTTTTTTTTTTTTAATCCACGACAATTTGACACAATTTAATTAAAATTAATTAATTAATTAGTGTAATATTATTATTAAAGGAATTTTTTTTAAAATTTAAATCTCGATGGTAAATCACATAGTGAAATTTTTTTTTTACTTTATCAAATAATTAGATTTAATTTCGACATTTTAAAAATTTTATCAATTTTTTTTTTTTTTTTTTGAAAAAAATATGGCGCGTTACACATCCTTGCACTTTTTTTAAAATATATATTTCATCATTTAATTTTTTTTTTTTTTTTTGACGATTTATACGTAAAATATTGTCCTAGTTTTCCCAAAAAAAAAAAAAAAAAAAAAAAAAAACAACAAAATTTCCATGATAATCAACCGGAAAAAAAAATAAAAACCGAAAAAAAATGACAAAATGTCATTTTTCTTTTTTTTTTGAAATTTTCTTCTCCAGTAATCTGATCTTAAAACAAAAACAAATTTACAATTTACAATTAAATTCATTCGATTACGTTCAAATAATAATAATAATAATAATAATAATATTTTGAAATAAGTGAAAAAAAAAGAAAAAAATTGGAAAGTTTTGGAGAGAGTAATAAGAAGAAATTCAATATTTTTGAATTTTGACCCTAAACCTTTTATTGCAGAAAAAAATGGAAAAAACAATATTATTATTATTATTATTTATTTTTTTACTTTGATCTTGACAGTGTTAAAAAAATTTCTAATTGACTTTTTTTTTTTTATGTAACCTAAAAAATTAATAATAATAAATTTAAATACTCTTCATATTTTTTTTTTTTTTTTTACATAAATACGAATTTTTTACTTTTTCATGAACTTTCACAATTATTTTAACATTTTTTTTTCTTTTTTCTTTTTTTTTTTCAAAGATCTATCATCATTATTTAGTTTTTTTTTTTTTTTTTTTAAATTTGACCGGAATCAATATAATTTTTACAAAAATATTAATAATAATAATATTTTTAAGTATAAAATTCTGGCCCGTCCTCGTTCCTATACATAAAATTACCTTATTTAAATAAAAAAAAATTTTTTTTTTTTTTTAATTATTTTCATCGACGGGTTTTTTCTTTCTCTATGCCCTCCCCTCTCCCCTCTCACCTCCCACCTCTCCCCTCCCCTTGAAAAAAAAAAATCGTTAAATGGCTTTCACGTTATCGACGACGAGCAAATAAATAAATAAATAAAAATCCCTTTTGGCACACCTTATTATTTTTTTTTTTTTTACTATAAAAAATCTATAAAAAAAAAAATGTTGTCTAGTCTATCTCTACCGGCTCACCTGTTATTATTATTATTATTATTATTATTATTATTATTATTATTATTATTTTGCTTTCTCCAATTTACCAATAAAAAAAAAAAAAAAAAAAAAAACGAGTTTTTTTGTATTTAAACGTACGACGGACGATTGTTGTTGTGATGATGTTTGTAGTTTTTTTTTTTTTGATAATGGGAAATTTTATTTATTAATGAGGTTAACAAACTCTAAAAAATAAAAAAAAAAAAAATTGATTGTTATCATTGTTCCGTAAATCCTCATCATCACATGAGGTTTGCTGTTGTAAACAGTAAACAAAAACATTTTTTGATTGTTGTTGTTGTTGTTGTTGATATTGTTGTTAATTTGAAATGATTAAAAAAATTAAAAATTCTAAAAAGTATTAAGACACGGTTAGCAAAGCGCGATTTTTATATTAAAATGAATCGGTTGGTAGATTTGACTGGATTCGCCACTTTCATTTAAGCCTAGTGACATGCTTTCTCCATATTCGCCTGGAGCCTTTAAAAAAAATCTCTTAAACACGTGGTTTCTCTTTTCCTTTGATTTTTTTTTCTTTTTTTTTACAAAAACCTTTTAATTTGTTTTTATTTAAATTATTATATATATTTTTTTAAAAAAATAATTTTTTCATTAATCGTTATAATTTTTTTTGGGTTTTCGGGTCATTCTACTAAACGATTTTTAATTACAATAAATACTACAATCTTTTTTTTTTTTTTCTATTACTCAATTTAGATTTTCTTATATCAAAAAAAAAAAAAGTGGGGAAGAAGGAAGAAGGGTATTAAACTTTTTTTTTTTTTTTTACCGTTTGAAAGTAATCTCCCGGTATTTCCGGTTATTCTTTTCTATTTTTTGTTTTGGGGGGGGGGATTTTAAGTAAATTTTTTTTAAAAATTATTTAAACAATTTAATCGTTTTTCTAAAATATTGTCACGTGTTTTTATTTGTTTTTTTTTTTTTTTTTTTTTTTAATTTCGACGTTTAAATTAATTAAATAAAAATAATTCACGCGACGATTATAATAATAATAATAATAACAATAATAATGATAATAATAACGATAATTCTTATGATTCTGTAATAAATAAATAAATGAATGAATTGAAAAGAATTTTAAAATTACCGTGAAAATAATCGACTGTTTACGATTTAAATGATATAAATTATTATTATTATTATTATTATTATTATTATTATTGTTATTATTATTATTATTATTGTTATTATCATCATTATCATTTTTTAACTATGATTTTTGATTTTTAATTTTCTTTTAGTGAAAGTAGATCGAAATGTTAAAAAATTTTTAAATTTAAAATTAATTATTTTTCATTTTCTTTCGTTCGTTATTAAATTGTAAAAAAAAAGTATATAATAATAAAAAATAACACGATAAATACGATCGTTAATAATAATAATAATAATAATAATTAAAATAAATACTAAAAAAAAAAATTCTTAAATTTATTGATTAATAAAAATTTATTACGTTAATTAATTATTTTTTTAAATTTAGTTTAGTTTTGATAAAATTAAAATCCGATTGAGAAGATTATTGCATTTAAAATTTTATTCGATTTTTTTTTTTTATGAACGAATTAATAAATTTGAAAATTGGAGACGAATAAAAATAAATGTTTGTTCTCTCTCTCTCTCTCTCTCTCTTTATCTCTTTGATTAAATTGAAAAAACAATTTGGCAATTGTTTAAAAAATTGTTTACGTTTTCAACTATTAACTATTTTTTCTAAGAAAATGTATTATATTTATAGAAAACATCGGTATTATTTATTTAAACATAACATTATAAACAAATTTTAATAATACCCCTACGATGATTAAAAACAACAACAACAACAACATTAACAGCAAAATCTATTGATAAACATAAATAAATGTTTTTAATTAATTTGTTACTTTTTTTCTTTTTAATTCTAAAAAAATAATCAATTAATAAATAATTAATTATCTTACCGGGAAAAAAAAATTTAATAAAGGTATTATCCGAATGTTAATAAAAAAACATAAAACATAAAATAAAACAATTTCAACACAACAACATTAACCGAACCAACGCGAAACCACATATGATGCAGATCTGACAATTCAAGTCCAAACTACCTCTCTCACACGTTTTTCTTTCTTTCTTTCTTTCTTTCCTTCCTTCTCTCTCTCTCTTTCTCTTTTTAACTATTTCTCTCCTACTCTTTTAAAAGTATTAGAAATGCTTTCTTTTGAAAAAAAAAAAAAAAAATAACCGGCTCGAGTATGAAATTTATAAGTACTTGATTTCGCGTTTATATTTTTTTTATAGAAATAATAATAATAATAAAATTTTAATTCGAATTCAATTCTGATAAAATAATTAAGCTTCAGTGAAATTTTTTTTTTTTTTTTTAAATATTAATCGTCGTTAACTCGTGCTTGATTATTAATTACATATTATTATTATTATTATTTTTTAACAATAAAACTATTAGTCTTATATATATATGCCTACTAGTGTGATAGAAATTAGGAAGCAGTTACGCACGCGTAACCACAAAAAACTATCGAATGACATTTCCTATACATAATTGTTTAAAAAAAAAAATAAAAATTTTTTTCTTTTACTACTCCCGTCACGAGTATAAAATATTTTTCACTTTTGCGGTTTTATTATTATTATTTTCACTTTTGAACATGACAAGCTTTTAAATACTTGTCGGATTTTGTTTTTTAAGCACTTATTACAGGTCTCTACTCGATTCCTCAAAAGTAAGTGCTCGAATTTCGTTGGTGCTAACGATGTTGGTGATATCGGGATTTCCTGGATGGTTTCTTCTTTTAAAGTCTTCAAAATCTTCTCTAAATTTCCTTTTATTGAATGTGGCATGGCTCCCAGTGCTGCTCCCACGATGACAGGAATCGTTTCTGTTTTTGTTTCCCACATCCTGACTATTTCAATTTCCAAATTTCTATACTTCAGCCTTTTGTCTGCTTCTTTGGCTGTCTGATGATTTGGATACTTCAATCAGTTTACACCATTTTTCCACATTATGCCTCAGGATGATATCCAGTAGCCAGTTGTAAGTGCTCTTCTTATTAATATCTGAAGGGCTCATTCTTTTTAAACATTGTCCGTGTAACTTTTTCTATTCCCTCTTGCCCTTTAATTTCTTCTGAGATTGGGATTTGCTATCATAAGTTGCAAGTTGCCCTTCTTCTATCTCATTTTCTTGGATGATATGTTTTGCCCTCCTTGGTACTCCTTTTTTTGTAATTTGTTCCTCCACATGTACTACTTGAGCTAAGTGAGTACTTTTTTTGGTTCTTACTTTGTCTTGTTCTCATTTTGCTCTTTTTGCTTTTATAAATTTTTCAAACCATTTACCTTTTCCTAACCTAACCTTTTTCACAATACTTATTCTAATTCAGTACTTAAAGTTTCTTTATTATAGGATTTTTGACTAAACTTATTACTTATGTCTCTTACTCTTATAAAAGTCAAATTACTGTAAATCATGTAAAATATGCTGTAATAAGGCAGAATCAATTTAATAAAAGGTTCAATATTATGCAATAAGCACATTAGTTATTAGACAATAGGAGACAGAAAACCCAATTGATATATTAAATCAGGTATTACCTTTTATTAAACTATTTTGTTAAACTATTCCTAATGTTGAGTAGTATGATAAAGATATTTAGTTAGACTACTCAGCTAAAATATGCAAGCTTAAAATAAGCTTCAACTTAAGATATGCAAAGTTGTGCTCCCTCACATGTTCACAATTTTTACATTAGAATCAAGTACTAAAAGGCTACTTATTTAGGATTATTAATTGATCTTGAATCAATTGTACAGGCAATATTGTACTATCAAGATTATAAACTAATCAATAACAAAACAAACTAATTTAAGGATAAAATAAATTACACACAGTACACTTTACTGTGTACACAATATACAAATTACAATTAAAATTTTGTACTATTATTATGTAATATAGAAAAAGTTGATCTTTCCTAGTGGCAATGTAGATTAAGAAGGAGATTTACATAAATAATATATGGCAAAATACTCTGTATTAAAACAATCAGTAGATGAGACACTTAAAGACTGGAGTACAGACATGTTATATCCAGCTATACATTACATTAAACCAATAAGTAATGAGTATTTTTATTAAACTACCTCATACCATACCATATTTTACCATAATTACCAAACTTTAATATGACAAAGATATTTAACTCTTATAATCAGTTCAAGGGATGCCAAAAATTTATTAAATGAAGTCTGGTTAAAGAGAAACCTGATGTACCCTTCCACACTAATATCACTTAACATAGAGGCTACTAATTATCCTTACTTTGATTCAGATTTAATAAAGGTATTACTTACACTATGCTACCATTAGTAAGCTATGTTATAATGAAGTAAATTAGCTTAAAACAAGGCTAATAGAACACACAATCATAGGTTAACACTTAACCATGAGGGTGTAAAAATTTCACCCTGAAAAAATCAAGTATCAACCAATATATTATTAAACTATTGTAACTTTTATCTTGTTAAATAAGATAAAAGTCAAATAGATACATAAGATGATTAGTCAAATTACTTATAATTAACCATAGAAACATAAAAAATTTTTTGGCTATTTGGCTCCATTTTTTTGTCAGCCTAACTTTTTGCAAGCGAAGTTTAAGTCTTAAAATATGGTACTTATCTGTAATAATCAGATGTATTAAATCATCTTCTAAGGTTTTTTAATACCCAAGCTTCCTTTTGTCACAGAAGCCGTTGACTTTTTGCAAATTTAAACTAATAAATAACAAAGTTATTACTAAATAATTTAAAAAACTAATTATATCACAATAAACTACACTAAATAACAAAACTTTTGATGTATAACTTATAAATAAACTCTAAAAAAAAACTATTAAAATTAATTAAATAAAACGATATGACACAAAGGCTTGTCAACCATGGAACACCACCGCCTTCTTTATTATTTTTACCTCTTAAATAATTTTCACGCGCGTAAAATTCACGTACGTTCAGTAAAATTAATTCTTAAGAAAAAAAACAAAAGTGAAAGTAATTTGCTATTCAATTATTTTCTTGTTTAATTATCGTATTCATAGATTAATTATCTACGGAAACCATGTACGGTTGTTGTATGAGGTTAAATATAGGTTTATGTTTGTTTACCCGTGAAAAAAAAGGCGAAGAACTTATTTTAAATTTCCCGAGTTTTTAACGCCTTATTCACCGGTTCATAAAAATTCTTTGCTTTTGTGACGTAATGAGATTGCTGTCGCATTTTAAACCTCATTTTTTAACTTATTAATTATTATCACTAATAATAATTTCAAAAATAATGTCAAATTTAAAACTTTTCAATGCGTGTTTGATGTCAAAAAAAAAATTTACTTAATTTATATTTGTTTATATTTTTAATTAATAAGTTTGATTCTGTACTTTGTTTTTATTTGTTATTTTTTTATTTAAGTATTATATTTTTTAATTTAAAAAAAAAAAATGACGGAAAAAAACGCCTTACGTTAAAGCGTTATGCAATATTAAAACGTGTACGTTCAACGTGTTGCATAAATTTAAAAAAAAATAATAAAAAATATTAAATTGCTTGTTATTTAAATTACTTAACAAGCAAATCGAAAGCTTGGGAATTTTTAAAATCGTGCCATATAAATATAACACGAATACAAAAAAAAAGCTTGTAAAAATATTATTATTTATAAAATAAAAAAAAATTCGTGACAAATGTATTTTACTTACCGTGCTGAAAGGTGAAGGACGTTGCAACCGTCAATATCCTTAGCCAAAAGTTGATATTCGTCGTATTTTATTAGCCATTGTAATGATTTTAAACTTCCAAAAACTGATGCATCGTGAGCTGGAGTCGAATAAAAATAAGTTTTCGGTATTGTTTTGTTTTTTAAAAATGGCCAAAAATATTTCAAAACGGATATTTGATCACCTCTTGCGGCATAATGAAAAACTCCCGCACCGTGAGCATCGCGAATATTAAAAATATCCAATTTTAATTTATATGAATTATGATTAATAAAACAATAATGATTTTTCAATAGAGTATTTATTAATCTTATATCTCCTTTTTGACAAGCGTTAAGTAACACCAATGGATATTTTAAATTAAATGGAATATCATCATTTTTATTTTCCATGTTTCCATTAATAATTCAAAACAAAAAAAAAAAAAACAAAATTTTTATTGTTTTTTTTTTTTTTTTTGGCATCAACCCTATGCTCGAGTCCAACAAATTTTACTTTCTAAAAATTTAAATTTTTTTTTATTTATATTAATCCAAAAAAAAAAAATTGATGATTACTACAACTACTACTACTTATTAAAGCCTTTTTATTATTACAAACCTATTAAATAAATTAATAATAATAATATTAATAATAGTTTTTTGTTAAATCACATTTTTCCCTTTTTTTTGTTTATTTATTTAATTTAAATCAAAAAATAATTAATTATTATTTATTCACGTATTAAATTATCCGTAATTATATTTTATTATGTACATAAAACAATATTATTAAAATATTTTTAAACGTTTAACGTGTGAGAGTGAAAAAAAAAACAAACAAACACATTAAAATTGTTTTAAAACACAAAACTTGAGTTGTTTACGTTACGTTTCAAAACCCATTCATAATTTACGCGGTTAAAATAATAATAATAATAAAATTAATTAAACAACCACAAAAACGGTCACTAAATATTAATTAAAAAAAAAAAAAAACAATTTTAATAATATAATTATTAATAATTTAACAAAAAAAAAAAAAAATGAATTAGAACCGATTCACATGAATGCAAGTAAAACAATGTGAGTGAAAGTGATTTGGCAAAAAAAAAAAAAAAATTTACTTTTTTGTTGGTTTTTTTTTTTTTTGGATAATTTTTCAATCGATTATCATTACAAATAAAAACAATCGTGATAATTTATCCAAAAAAAAAAAAAATATATATATATACAAACGTGTCGTAAAAAACAAACGAACAAACAATTCACTCGAAATAAAAACAAACTTTTTTTTTTTTCTTTAACGCGTTTGTTACAAAAAAAAAAAAAAAAAAATCGACGGTTACTTTCAAATATTTTTATGCTTCAAAGCAAACTTAAGCAATTAATTATTATTATTATTATTAATATAAATTAATAATTTTATTTTTTTTTTATTAATTAATAAGATAAGTAAAAAATAAAATAAATTACAAAAAAAAAAAAGAAAAAAAATTGTGTGGTGCAAAAGAGGATGTTGATTTTCGAAACGTTTTTTCTATTATCATTATTATTATTATTATCATTCTTTTTTTTTTTAAATTCAGTTTAAAAAAGAAAATGTTAGGCTTTATTGATTATCCAATAAATAATAATATTATTATTATTATTAATTAATTTTTATTAAAAAAAAAATGATAAAATTTGGTTTTTAATTTGACTATCGTAGTTTAAATGATCCCCGATTATAAAATTCTTTTAAAAAAATTTCTATTGATTACATATTTTCGAATAAGTAATATTATAATTTTGGCGGGAAAAAAATTTTCAAATTTCAACCGATCCCCGATTAAATAATCGCGTAAGAGACGATAGAAAAAAAAATAAAAAAATTTTTTTTATTGTTCTTCCATCACATAAATTAAATTTTTACAATTCTCTTCGACTAATCAATTGAAATAATAATAATAATGATGATGAAGAAAACAAGAAGGGTCAAAGCCAATAAAAAAAAAAAAAAAAATTATACGCAAATTTAAAATTATTATTATTAATAAAGAATTTCACTAAGAGGAACAATACAAATACAAACAAAAAAAAAAAATTTTTTTTTTAACAACAACAACAACAACAAACTTTTTAATATTTTCAGGTACGCACCAATTAAACTAAACCAACAATAATTTTATTTAAAAAGGAAAATTTTCCTTTGAAAATTTTTTTATGAACTTAATATAATAATGATGATTTTTTAAAAATATTATCAATATTATTTAAAGTTCAAAATTGATAACAATACATATACATAAATTTAAATACTGATAAGAATACATTAAAATATATAAATTCATCAAATTTTTTTTTACGATTGACGATAATAAATAAAAATTGCAAGCAAAATTTTTTTTTTTAAACGTAAGCAAAAGGTTTATTTAAAAAAAAAAAAAACCTTAATACGCCACTACTTTAAAAAACGTGCCGATGAATTTATAAAGATTCGAAAAAAAAAAAAAAATTAAAAATTTACCATATTTTAGGTATTTTTTTAGGTTTGTTATTTATACCCTCAACGGAAACGTCATTAACAACATAATATGAATATTTATTTAAAAATTTATCAATTTCGTCTAATGACACGTTCAAACCGACGTGTTTATTTAAAAATCTTAATATTAAACCGTTATTTATTCTCGTTGCGAGTACTTTTTTTATTTTTCTCATAAATATGTTTAACCAATACCCGATAATGTGTGCGGTATCCGATTGATTTTCGTGTGTCGTGTGTTTTATCGTGTATGTTTCCCTATCATCCCCATTCGTGTATTTACCAAGTTCTTTTAAATTTGTAGGTATGTGAAAAGTTTGACTGTTTATAATGACGAGAGGCTGGGTGACGGTTTCGGATAAATTTTTATGAGATTTTATTGGAAACATCCACGGATCCAATATTACTCCGACTCTATAAAATACAAAATTTATTTATTTCCGACGTTGGCGCGTTTTAACCTTGAAAGAATGTCATGCTACGTAAATGATCGCGAAAATATTACGTAACAAACATGTGTTTGTTATGAAAATATTACCGGTTTATTTAAAGCTTACTTTGTTTCGTAATTAAAAAAAAAAAAAAAAAAATTACCTTTGGTCAAGGTGAAATTAACTTACTTAAATCTCGGATCTGTGCCCAAAGTGAGTAAAGTTGTTGCTCCGCCAAAAGAATGTCCCATCATGATCGGTTTTGTGAAATCCAATCGATTCTATTTTGAAATAATTATTACCATTATTATTATTATTGCAAAACGTTCTAATAATAATTATTTAAAAACAATAACAAAATTTGTTTTTGTTTCTTTTTAATGATTTCTGCTTTAGGTCTCTAGCACAATCCAAATTCACAAATTTATCAAGTCAAAATTGATTTCATTTAACGATAGCAAATATTATGAAAGACAAAAAACCGGAAATGACGAAAAAAAATTACGCACGCATATTTACCTTGAATTGTTTTAAATCAAAATCGGATTTGAGTATGTTTCCAATATCATTTCCGGAATTTAAATTTTCCAAAATTGTAAGAGCTCTTTTACATTCGTTCGAACGTTGTTCGACTTGTCGGCTTCTTTCTGTGAGATGTTCAGGCGTGCCAACTTTAACTCTTTTAAATTTCATCCATGTCCGTTCGTCTTTATTTAATTTTTCTTCGGATTTGTAATAGTAAGTCATGCTTGAACTTTCGTCTCTGTGTTCCAAAGCAATCACAACGTAGCCATGCGATGCTAATTCGCAACAAATTCCGGTGTAAAAAAATCTCGTGGCTCCGAGACCGTGGGAAAAAACAACAGTTTTAAATTTCCTTATTTCCGTTTCGACGGGACCGTTTTCTATAATTGGAATTTTAACGTCTCCTAAAAGAAATAATAATAATAATAATAATTTTTTCATTTTCTTTTATGCGACTTATTGTAATTAATATTTTATTAAAAAAAAAAAAAGAAGAAGAATTTTATAAAAACTCACCGGCGACGAATTTCATTAATAATTTTATTAAAAATGTCCATAAGTTAAGTACGTATGCAAATCCAATTATGTATTGTTTGTGCGGGAGCCACGATATCCAAGCAGACGAATATTTCTAATTAAAAATAAATGAATCAATTAATAATAATTTTTTTATTATTTCATGTTCGATATCGAATCGATGTATATTTTAACAAAGGTAATTATTATTATTATTATTATTTAATTTTTTCATGTGAAATAAAACAAGTTGACATTAAGTGTTAGCTATTTTTTTTTTTTTTTTTAACTTCAAGGAGACGACGTTTAAATATTTTATTAATTCATTATTTGTTTTCAAATAAATACTCACATTTATATCTTTTAAAGATGTCGGATAATAAATTCTTGCAAAAAGACCATTTCTAGAATATTCTGTCATTATGTCAACGCATCCCGGAGCGTGAGGACCTTTAAAGAAAAAGTTTTTTTTATTATTTAATTTTTCCACCATTTTAAAAAAACTTATTAACTTTTAAATCGTACTCATTTTTTTAAATATTAGTCAAAAAGACATTTTAGTCATTAGTCAAGTTAAATGATTAACAACAACAAAAAAAGTAACAGGTATTAATAACAAAAAAAAGTAACAGGTAATAATAACAAAAAAAAGTAAAAGGGACCTCTTACCCGCTCATCATATGTCATAACCAATAAATCAAAATAATAAAGATTTGTGGTTTTTTTTTTTGGGGGGGGGATTCTTATTTAAAATAACGCGGATAATTTTAAAAAAATTACCAGGAAAAGTACTCGTTAAATATGGATACCCGGTAAATAATAAAAAAAATTATCCATTAACGAAAAATGTGAACTTTAAACACAAATTAAGTCAATGAAATTTTAAGTGGGTAATAAATTAACCGACGACAATCATTTTCCAATTTTATTTACATACCGAGTACCGGGTTATTATTAATATTAAATTTTCAATAAAGGAAATTTTCTTCTCACGTAAAATTTATTATTATTATTATCATCATCATTATATAATTTTACGTCAAAATCGTTAAATAATTACAAATTTTCAACCCGGGTGATTTTTAACAAAAAAAAAAAAAAAACAAAAAGGAAATAGAAAATCATTTAAGCACGTTTTCGGGTATAATTTTCGAATAACCATCTTCTGGGGAGAGGGGGGATAATACGCTTGGGTCAAAGTTCAACTATAATTTAATCAAAAAAAAAAATTTTTTTAAGGAAGCGAAAAATAAGGAAAAAATCATTTTCCAAATATTATTTTAACTTATTTTTTTTCTTTTAAATAAATAAATAAAATAAAAATTTTTACGTGACGTCATATTTAATTATACACGAATGTAACGTAAAAAAAAAAACTTGTATTTAATTGATTTATTTAAATAAATAAATAAATAAGAAACATAATAAATAAAATAAAAAATAAAATTATTGTAATAAACGCGTAAAAAAAAAAAAAACACAAAAATTATTATTATTATTAATAAATTTATTTTTAACGAAATGTTCAAAAAAAAAGGGGGGGTCGAAAGCACAAAAAATTAATAATTTACCGGTTTTAATAGTTGTAAACAAAAAAACGACAACAACAACAACGACAAACACCGTTATCATAAAAACAATAATTTTTTTTAAAAAATGGGTTATCAAATGCAACAACAACAACAACAACCAAAACAAACACTTACCGGTTGAACACGGAAGATGTTTCGGTAAATTTTCTTTTTCCATATCGACCGATGGAATATTAGGTCTTTATCAAACGGTTATGATATCCTGACTGAAAATAAATAATAATAATAAAAAAAAAAAAAAAATTTTTTTTCTAATACAAAAAAAAAAAAA